CTTAGTGGAGGAAGGGAACACAGAAGGGTGCCCTGCTCATGCGGTTAGCTTGGATGGGAGGGAGCAGCATCAGTGGTGAAGGGAGAACAGAGTCTTCTCATGCAGGTGGAGAGGGCAGTGGAGTGAGTCATCTTCCAAGAAGGGGGCTTTAAGATGCTCCCTCTCCATCGCTAGCAAGACAGAAGCTTCTGCTAGCACTGGAGAGAGCTGATTCCATAGAATGCAAACGAGGCAGTTTTCATAAGGTTCAGGGGTTGGGTGTAACTGGAGGTGGGATAATACAGGGAGGGGAGAAGATTCTGGCAGCGGGGGACAGCGCTTGAGCCTCCATCCACCATCCATCAAGCGCTTACTCTGTGCTAGGCGCTAAGCAGTGGAGGACTTCATGCCGAGGGACAGCACAGAGAAGCGCCCGAGGGGGAGCGTGAACGTGAAATGGCTTTGGGGACGGACCTAGAGGAAATAACCTTTGGGTGATTAAGAGGCTTGTGATGGGGTTGGAGAGATGGCTTTGTGATTGACAGCACATGGCTGCTCTTCCAGAGAACCCAGGCTCGATGGCTCACAAGAGTCTGTAACCCCAGTTCCTGGGTATCTGACACCATTTTCTGGTTTCCTTGGGCACTGTATGAATGTAGCACGCAGACGTACATTCAGGTAAACACTCATACACATAAAATAATAAATAAAATCCCTCTCCCAAAAAAAGAGAAAAGAAAAGAAATCAAAGAGGTTGGTGGGTGACTCCACTCAGGAAGGCTTTCCACGAGAGTGCATGGCATGGGCGCAGGTTTGGGGGCATGAGAAAGTATGATATACCACAGAAAAGTTAGCGTGCCAAGGATAGCCTGCCACGCCTTGGCATCCTAAAAGCGGTGAGAATTCACTGAATGCTCTAATCTTTTCAAGAGTTACCCTGGAGGCAGAGCTGAAGAGGGTTGGAGTGAGGCCCAGGAGCAGGGGTGGGGGAGCATCTATGGCAGGACCAGATGATTTGAATGAGGCCAAAAGCAGTGTGGACAGGGACCAGGCATGCTTAGAAATAAGCAGGCTGACCAGACATCTGGTTTGCAGCCAGGGGAAGCGGAGGCTGGGAGAAAGCCAAACGTCTGGTCTGGGCCACTGGGTGGATGGCAGTGCTCTTTGTGGCACACGGGAAGCCTGGTGTGTCTGCCTTCCATCTGTCTGCCTCCTGGCTCCATTCTTGCCCTCTGGAGATTCTGCTCAGCTCCCCTTCTCTGGTCCCCATGGCAGGATGTTTCCTGTGGTCATTCCTTGAGGATTTGTAGCTTTCCGAGGCTCTGTTTTCCAACCCTATCTCACTGCCTGGGACACAGAGGAGACGTTATTTGCTGGTGTAATGACTGGTGGGCTTTCAGGCAGTGAGGAGAGGGAGGGCTCCCATCCCTAGTAGCCCCGCCCCCACCCCGGTGTCACGCAGCAGCACCTGACGTGGGGGAGATCCGGTGCGCGCAGAAATGAAGAAGACCCAGTCTTTACTGGAAGGTGGGGGTGCTCACAAATGTTTCTTTTTAGTTTATTTCAAATTCGGGCCACAGTGTATTTGAAGTCAACAGGAAAAGGTGCCAGAAGTGGAGGTGCTGAGAAGACGGGCTCCTGGAAGTGTGGCCGAAACTTGAGGCTAATTTGCTGGACAGATGGAGCAGCAACTATCCTTAAGGCCGCCTGGCAACACTGGTGGCTGGAGCACACAGACGTTTAACCCTGCAAAATCAGCCGTCTTTATTTTCTTTCCTCCCTTATTTGTTGGGTGGGAACATGTCCTTGAGCCCCAATTTTCATTTCTACAAAGTAGGGTGAGATGGTTCACCTTCCTGGGATTGTCATATGAACTAGGTGGGATAGTCTATGGAAGAACTTGGCACACAGTAGGCCTTCGGCAGCCACAGGAATGCACACACTTCTTAGGAACGGCAATTAAGAATGTAAGGCGTGGCTTCTCCTGTAACGACCGAGCTGCAAGGGGAGAGCCATGGCTAAGATTTATAGAACAGATCGTGAAGGACTTCACGCAATTTGATAAGAAAAAGAACTTCAAAGCTTATTTTAGGGTGCAGGGGATACTAAAAGTGATCCTTGTGGCAAAAAGGTTTAGACTCTGAGGTGTGGTACCACTTATCCAACATTGCAGAGTGAGTCAGGGACAGCACTCAGACTTATACCTGGGAAGTTGATAGTGAGGTCATTTCTCTTTTCACTGAGCTGCCCCCCAAAAGGGGTGAGTGAGCCGACTTGGGTCATGTTCATATTCTCGTTTCTGACTCCTCCTTCAGCCCCTAATCCTACCCCAGGCATTTGAAACAGGTTTCTGGTTTCGGGCTTCCACCTAGGCTTCTCAGCAGGGGCTGTCCAGGAAACCCCTTCTATGTGAAGCAGGTGTGGGCGTGGGAAGGCTCCTTAGAGATGAATCACCGCTGCCTCCTCCTTGGTGAATCACGTTCAGGGCTTGGGAACAGCTAGCTGGTGGACCTGACCGAGAGCAGAGAGCTGCATTGCAATGATACATCTCCACCACTAGGAGGCAGAAAAGGGACAGGCAAAACCGGAGCCGGCCACGGCTGGCGCTCAGAGCTTGGGAGGGGGTGGACGGAATGTGAGGGCCCAGCTGGGCCTGGATGTGGGCAGTCAGTGCCTGGGATGCTCCACCGCCTGCTTCTGCCCTGGATTCTCTGCTGGAGAATGTCAGAATAGAGTGGGGGGGGGGGGAGGGGGAGCTGGGGTAGGGCAGGCTCATCCACCCGCTGTGTGTCCTGACGTTCTAAATGCAGATGCTCAAGGTCACACGGAAAGCCAGAGGCAAGTCAGTCTGCTTTTGGAAGTTTCAGGAGCATAGCCATTGGATGGGGCACAGATGTGGCCTGCATGTCTGAGATGTGGACAGATGTCCAGGTCCTGCTGCCTCTGTCCAGCCCCCTCTCTCATCTTGTCCCTGTCTCCCTGGTTCCTCTGTCACTATTCTGCTCTCTCGTTGATCCATTCCCCCAATCTCTTTTCTTCCTGACTCTTCCACCTGACTGTTTCTCTGCCCTCTTTGTCAGCCTCCATCCCTGTCCTCTGGGGACCTGGGTCCTTTTTTCTGGGTCCCCATGGCACGATGTTTCCTGTGGTCACTCCTCAGGGATTTGTAGCTCTCAGAGGCTCTGTTTTCCAACTCTGTCTCATTGCCGCTCCTGGGACTCAGAGGAGACGGTATTATTTACTAGCATGTTCAGTGGTGTGTGTTCAGGCAGGAAGCAAAGAGAGTCCCCTGGCTCCTACGTACCCACTAGCCCCGGTGACCTCTGTTGCCAGTCGGCAGCCCATAAATGCTGGGAGGCACCTGGTGTGGGCGAGGTTCTGTGCTCATGCAGAAATGAATAGGACCCAGTATTCACCAGTGAGCTCACCACAAGGCCAGGGTGAGGGAAAGTGAGTGCACAGTGGATATGTGCAAATAAGGAGCCGCTCAGGACAGAGGGAGGGCACCAGGAGTGCGGTGTATGTGCCAGGACAGGTAGAAATGAAGTCTAGCTGGGTTAGTGGAGCCCTTTCAAGTAGCCTTCAAAGGGTAGATGGGATCTTAGGAGAAGGAGACACACACGGGGGTGTGGGCAAATTCTGAGCAGGGCCATCAGCGAAGCCAAGGGCCTTGGTTTCACCACGTGTTTGTACACTTGTTCAGACAGTGAGGAATGGCAGGGAGGCTGGAAAGCAGTGGGTGTTAGCAAGAAGGGTGTTTCCCTGTGCACTTAGCACGCAGGGTGCTTCACTGTGCTCTTTACAGAAGAGACACCATGTAGTTTCTGAGGGAGAGGGATTTAATGTGAATAAAGTGAAGTCTCTGTGAGTGGCAGGACTTCGTTCCCCGCGGGTTCCTCCCCAGGGTGGAGAGTTTTTACCTCTACCTAAAGTAGGTTGTGAAGGGAAGGGAGGCATCATGAGGAGTGGAGGAGGGGGACACTCAGGTGCCTTGGAGAGGAGGGGGGACACTGGGTGCCTTTGCAAAGACATAGAAGAGGACCCTAAGGACCCAGGACCCACTTTATCTGTGCTCTGCAGCTGGTTGCCACAGTGACCTCGAAACAGAGACCTGGGGGTCTGATTCTGCTCGCTCACAGGTTTCCGTGGGGTCACCATCCTCATCTCCCTCCGTGCTGCCTGGCGAGGGGCTCCACGCTGGCGCTTGTGGGTTGGGGTTTCCGGCTGCTGCTCTGGCCTTGGGGAGCAGGGTGTGCCTCTGAGTCACCACCTGGGCATCTGGGCCTGGAACCATGTGAGTCACCCAGCACAGGGGGAGCAGAGAGAGGGTGCCTGATGTCTGCAGGGGAAGAGAGCTGTGCCCACAGGAAGGGCGGTGCCCAAGTGGGGGGGGTTGGGATAAAGAACAGAAGGGGGTCAGTCTTGAGGTCAGCTCTTTCCTGAAGACCCCTCCCTTGGGCCCAGTTGAAGGACACAGTGTCCTTCTCCATGTAGAAGACACATTGGGGGGTGGTGAGGGCCAGAGGAAGGCCATGGCTGGGTCCAGGCCCCTGTTTTCAGCTCTGGGTAGAGGAGTCATTCCCATTCTTTCACCTATCTGTAGAAGGAAGAAGAGGAAGTTCATGTCTCCTTTTTTTCCCTCTTTTGCATCCTACACAGACTGCTGCTCACTGCATCTGGGTCTGGTACAGAACAATCGCCTTTGCTCATTTTGAAGTAGTTTAAACAAACCCGGCTGCCCCACTCTCTCTTTAAGAGGGATTCTGGTGTCAGGCTTTTAAAACAAAACAAAACAAACAACAAAAGATTTCTTAGACCTCCTGACATCCTCCTCTAGATGTCTCCAGCTGCTCTTTTGAACCCCAGCTTTCTAGGGTGCCTGGACAGCTTCTCTCCGTCTCTTTCTATCTCTCTCTCTCTTACACACACACACACACACACACACACACACACACACACACCCCACATACCACACACCACACATGTCCATGAGCACAGGCTGTGAAGTTCCCACCCACCCTGTGTCCCCGCATCTTCTGACACAGGAGGAAACTGTGACTCACAGGCATAATATGAGAACCAGGCTTGGAATGAGTCTCTAGGCCCCAGAACAAAAGCTGCCTCCCCTCTTCCCTAACCAGGCTCCCCTTTCCTACAATGCCTTTGTTTCCATGTTGAGGCCCAGATGGGCTCAGGGATGCCCTTAGCTGGGCCTGGAGGCTCCTCCAGCTGGTGCTGAGGCCGGTGCTATCTGAGAGGGATGGGCCAAGAGGAAGTGTGTGGGGTGGCAGGAGGCCAGATTTTATCAAGATCAGGTTGGGACAGGTTCTGTTTCCCAAAAATGACAAATTGGAGGCCAGTAGGGTTCGCATATAAATCCCTACCCTGAGTGTCTTGGCCGCTGTATTCCCTCCTGGGTCTCTCCACTACCTGGTCTGGTGAGTACCTCTGTCCTGCAGAGGACCTGGGTTTCCATCTTTGTTCCACTATCTCAATTCTTGTTCTTGTAGTTTTCTCTGACTTCCTAGTGGGACTTCCCATTTGAAGAGACCCTCTGTGAAGTTTTGGATGGAAGGATCGTCCCCAGAATCCCCTGTGAGGGTTTAGGTTACTCTGTGGCCTGTTCTCCCGTCTCTGGGTCTGAGGTCTCTGTTTCTTAGTTTAGATACGTCTGTCTAGGGCCTCACTTTTGGGGTTTAGGCCTAGGAGTAGACCCTGGATATGTGGGGGTGGAGGCAGATGCCACTGCTATGGAGTGTATCTGAAATCCCCCACTCAGGAGACTGAGGTAGGAGAGTCATGAGGTCAGGGTCTGACTGGGCTGCACAGTGAGATGTCGCAAAAGCAGTCAATACTGAAATCTATTAGGAATAAGAAGTCAGAGACAGAGTCTCAGTGCTTAGCCTGCCTGGGTCCCGTGCCTTGTGTAGCGGCAGAGCCTCGCCCAAGGCTGCTTCCAATGCTGTTCTAAGTGGGTGAGGGTGGGGCTTGCAGAGGCAGGGAACTTTCCCTGCCTCCAGCACTGGCTCCTCTGGCTTACCCTGGAACCCACCCAATATTCTTAGAGGGATTTGGAAAAGTGACCTCTGAACTCTGACCTCATCTCTTCAGTTTCCAGCCCGATCCCAAGATACTGGGCATTTAATATTTTTTAGTTCTAACCCCAACAGAATCCTTCTTGATGTTGTCTCCATCCTGCTACCTGCCTGCAAAGAACCGGCATGTGCAGCACAGCTCTCAGCCTGTCACGCTAGGAGGGTCCCTGTGGGAAGGATGGCAGAGACTCTGACTTCAGGAGACTAGAGTCTGTGAAAGCTTTGACCCCTGCATGAGGCCTCATAGTCTTGGACTGTTCCCATGGCTGCTGCCAAGCAATCCCGGGAGCCCATGGACACATTTATGCTCTACATTCCTGGCACAGACAGGAGTCAAATTGAGCTTCTAGACACCCTGCAGCCTCCTCTCATCCCCCTCTCTGCCTCCCATAGACACTCGAGTAGGCAGGCCTCCCCAAAGAAGTGTGTCTCTAGAATACGAGGCTCTGCTTCAGGTGACTCCAGACCACAGGAGAGGTTTAACATTTGAGAGCAGTGTGAAGTGGCCCTGTGAACCCTGCTCCTTAGGCAGGCCACCTCCAGGGCAGGATGCAGGCACTGCCTTGCCATTCCGAGAGGGTAAGCTTAGTGGAGCAGAAGCAAACCTTGTAGACTGGACGTGAGGCCCCAAGTTCCTCGACGGTGTTCTTTTGTGTCTCTAGATTCAAGATGTCCAGTCCGCTGGAAGAGGCTCTGGCTGTGATGGTCTCCACCTTCCACAAGTACTCCGGTCAAGAGGGTGACAAGTTCAAACTCAGCAAGGGGGAGATGAAGGAGCTTTTGCATAAGGAACTGCCGAGCTTTGTGGGGGTAAGTGAGGCAGGCCAGGAGGGGAGCCGAGGGGGGAGGCGGGGAGCGGGAGGTGGGCACACAGGGTAAATCTTTTCCCATTTTCATTCTCAAGGGTCCTCCTGGTCCTAGTGCCGGGGTGGGGCTGAGGATCTCCCCATCAGCTTCCACTCCCCGGACCTGGGCTGGCAGTTAGGTCTGTGTGTGAGTGGACTTACCAATGGCTAGCCCCTTCGGTATTCCTGAGCACACTGCTGTGGGGGGCTTCAGAGTCCATTGGTAGAATCTTGTTGTTTGCTAGTTGAATAGTCCCAAACTAGAGACAGGAGGCAGCTGACCCAGGGTCACACAGGGATATAACTAGGGCATTAGTTTCTCCTTTTATTTTACACATTTGTGTGGTAGCCAAGAAAGTGTACAGAAAGAATGGATTCCAGCTAAGACTTGCACCCTGGGGCATTTGGCGACAAGGTGCAGCTAGGTCTCAATTTGCTTCTTGACTTGTACAGACTAATGGGTAATCCTAGAGAGTCAGGTCTCAGTCCTTAATATGAGGCAGGACTTACTTTTTTTTTTTTTTGCTTCATTTCGGGTTAATTCTTTCCCATTGCTTTGGCTGGTATTAAAAAGTTCATCTTTTAATACTTTTTTTTTTTTTCAAGAGAGGGTTTCTCTGTAGCTTTGGAGCCTGTCCTGGAACTAGCTCTTGTAGACCAGGCTGGCCTTGAACTCACAGAGATCTGCCTGCCTCTGCCTCCGGAGTGCTGGGATTGAAGGGGTTACCACCACCGCCCTGCAATGCTGGAGACTCTTAACATCATAATCTATCTCTCCTTCCTCACCGGGCCTTCTTGGTACCTCATAGGCGTCTCCTGCCCACCGTGCACATGGTTGCCCAGTGGGGAGGGGACGCTGGATACTAATGTAAAGGGGGAGGTTTTGGCTGTGGATCCGGCAGGAGCTGGGTGATAACTCCACTCCCTGCCACGTTCAGGAGAAGGTGGATGAGGAGGGACTGAAGAAGCTGATGGGCGACCTTGATGAGGACAGCGACCAGCAGGTGGATTTCCAGGAGTACGCCGTGTTTCTGGCACTGGTCACCATCATGTGCAACGACTTCTTCCAGGGGTCCCCAGCCCGGCCCTGAAGCAGAGCGCTCCACAGCCTGCCGTGTGTCTCCGGAGCCCATAGGACTCTCTCTCTCTCTTTCTCTCTCTTGTTTAATTTTGTACTAAATAAACTTTTGTTTGTTTATTTGTGGACCACATCGTAATGACTCAGTGACACTCTGTGCTCTGGGTGGATCAGTTAAAGGGCTGAAGACAGAAAGAAGTGCTCTGGTTTCCGACACCTTCTGTTGTCCAACTCTCCTGAGGACGAGGGGTCTACTCTTTGGGAGTTCACAGAATGAGATTTGGGGAATTGAGGTATGCTGGTAACGTTTTATTTTGCTAAGAAAGATATTTTAAAAGGCAGGTTGGGCATGGTAGTATAACCTTTAATCCTAACACTCAGGAGGCAGGGCCAGAGGGCAGAGGCAGGGCAGGGACTTGGGGGAGGGGACAGAGGCAGGGCCAGAGGCAAGGACAGTGGGCAGGGGCAGGGGCAGCAGGTCTCCAGAGTTTGAGGCCAACCTGGTCTACATAGTAAGGCCCTGCCTCAAAACAACAAAACAAAGACAAAGCACACAAAACCCCCACTAACTACAAAAAGACAAATACCACCTACAACAACAATCATTTCACCTCCCCACCCAGTTTCAATAGAGAAGGGAGGATACAAACTCAGAATATAGCACAGCCCTTAACATTAGGGACCGAAGGGTGAGCGGTCCCAAGAGTGGCCCAGGGAGCAGCGCTGGCTCCTTGTCAGATCCCAGGCCCGGGGCCGGGTTCTCATTGTCAGAAAGCTTCACTATCCTACCCACGTTCAAGTTGGGTAGCTCAGTTCTGAGTTCTCTCTCTCCCTGTTGAACTCTGCTAAAACCTCTTAGGAGCCAGCTCAAGGCAGGAATTCTTATTTTCTGCCATTTCCACTAAAACTGTAACCTAAGCTGCTATACATTCTGCATCCTATGGCAGGCATATCAGGTGATAGTCGAGCACATGGATGACCAGCTTTCCAGCCTATGAAACTAGGCCCGAGAGTTCACTCCTTCTTATCTCCGTCCAGTTTTATCTTTTAATTTACTTTTAATTTAATTGAAAGGTTTTGATAGCTACTGGATTTTGAACCAGTCACACAAACATTCGGAAGTTACGGAAGGCCCACTCTGTGATGACTTAACTAAACTGGCATTTGAACATTAGACGTCTTGGTGGACAGTTCACGTTTGGTTCAGTGACTCAGATGTCCTCCTAGTTACCGTTGCTGTAGAATGAACCACTCTGAGGCATGGTAGGTGAAAACATACATTTATATCTCTCATGGTTCTGTGGGTAGGCTGGAAATGGTTGGGGTGTCTTGGGCAGTTGCAGGTGGAAGTTGGGGCTACCATCCCTCAAGGGGCTCGCTCAGCGTGCTTTGCACTTGGTGTTAGCTGTGTGGCTGGAGCTCAGACAGAACCATCAGTGTGCTGCTAGGTTCATGTCAATTTGACACAAAGCGCAGTCATCTGAGAGGAGGAAATCTCGACTGAGAAAAAGATCTGGCTGTGGGCAAGCCTATTTTCTTAGTTAGTGATTGATGGGGAGGGCCAAACCCATTGTAGGAAGGGCCATTCCTGGGCTGGTAGTCTAGGGTTCTATAAGAAAGCCATCTGAGCAAGTCATGAGGATCAAGGCGTGTGGAGGGAGGCAGTAAGCGGCTCCCCTCCATGGCCTCTGCATCAGTTCCTGCCTCCAGGATCCTGCCCTGTTTGAGTTCCTGTCCTGACTTCAGTGCTGGACCACAGAGCACAGATGTAAGCACAACAAACTCTTTCTTCCCCACGTGCAGTTCATTGTGGTGTTTGTCGCAGCAACAGAAAACCTAACTAAGACAATCAGTTTACTGGATCCCTCTCTTGACACTCTGGCAGGGTCTCAAGAAAGTGGGCTTCTCTCTTTTTATTACCATGAAAAGAGACCACTTGTTCCAGAGGGGGCCCTGTCTCCCGGCCCTAGGTGAGCAGAGAGGACAGAGCTGTCTGTCACATGGCCTCTCACCTGCTCCTTCCTCTTCTTCAGAACTCTGTCTGATCTACTCTGCAGGAGGGCCCCACACATCAGAGTTTCCCAGGGAAGAAGAAAACAGCCAGGAGAGCATCACCTTTATGTGTTATAATTATTATCCATCCCCTCTTTTCATTAAAAAAAAGCCAACTTTTCTTCTCTTTCAAGGTGTCAGCGAGGAGTAGCCATATTACATTGCTGAGCCCCAAAAGATGTAGGCAAAGCCCTGTAGAGAGAGGTCACTACTGCCATGTTAATAAGGCAAAGGTTCTGGAGGATCCTGGAGGACAGAGCTTTTCCGGTCTCATCTTCACTCTGTTGTCCACCTAGAGCATGGACACTGAGCCCTGGAGGCATAGCAGCCATGTTGTGACCAGGAACCACAAACATAGTGTAGGGGATGATGTGCTGTAGGTTTAAAGAAAAAACACAAGGAAAGGACATTCCCTGGGCCCTCAACCCGACCCCAAACTCCCTCAGCAGACTTGTTACGTAAAATGATTGAAGTCAGACAAGTTTTCTGCAATTTACTGCTGAGTAAAGTACAGATTAGTAAAGAATTTGACATTGTGCAAATATCTGTGTGTGCGAACATGTGTGCATGCATGTGTGTGTGAGAGCGATGAGGGTGTTGGCTATGCTATGGCCTACATGTGGAGATAAGACGGCAGCTCCTTCATGCGTGTTCCTCCTGAAGCTGAGTCAATCTTAATGATTTGTGTGTTGAATGAAATGCAGCAGAAACGATGCCCTGGGAATTCTGAAACGCATCTTAGGAACCTTTCAGCTTGCAATGGAGCCTCTTTCAGTGCTCAGGCTGAGATAGGTCAGAATGTGCCGGAAGCTAGGGGCCATGCTCTGAGAAGCCCAAGCTACGTGGGGAGACCGTAAGTTGGATCTTTCTTCCCTGGGGAACTCTGATGTGTGTGGGCCACTTGCAGAGTAGATCAGACAGAGTGCTGAAGAGAAAGAAGGAGCCAGTGAGAGGCCATAGGACAGCCACTTGCTCTCAGCACTGTGCCCTCTCAACACACCTAGGGCTGGGAGGCAAGGCCAGGCAGGTCCTCTGGAAGAAATGGTCTCTTTCCATGGCAATAAAAAGAGAGAAGCCCACTTTCCTGACAGCCTGTTGGAGAGGAATCTGGTAAGTATGGGTCAGGGAGTCATGATGCCAGTAATTAACATCCTAGGGCAGTTCTCAAAGCTCCTTGCAAGCACACTGTCATTTCGGCCTCATGGTAACCCAAAAGGGGCTATTATTAAACCTTTTTACAGATGGGAAAGCGGAGGGGGCAGCTTCAGCCATTTGTGGAGCGCTGCCTCTGACGAGGTGCTTGGCCCACTCATACACCAGCCGTTTAATCCTCCCTGTGCCTGCACCTCACAGATGGGGAAACAGAGACGGGGGATGTTAAGGCCAGTGTCTGGCCTTGACCCATATCTGTTAGAAAACTCCTCATCCCTCTGGGGCCCTGGGCTGGTAGACTGGGCCTCTTTCCTCTTTCTGAAGTCATCTCCAGAACTTTAGACTTTGTGTGACCTGGAGGGAACCTGGCTGAATATGGTTCAGATGTACCTGGCACATCAGCCCAAGTCGCAGGAAGATGGGGTCTCCTTGCAGGGGGTTGGCTCTGTGAACTCAGATTTCTTTTGGTGCTACATAGAAGTGGGCTCCTCAGTTTTGGATTTGGACAGTCAGTTAGACAAGACCAGACTTATCTTGCTGCCTCTGAGGTTTCCCCCACTTGGAGAGGTTACAAAGTGGCTAACCATTCCATTTGGTATTTGACAAAATAACTGACATCAGACTGCTGAATCCAAACGAACAAGCTTCCCCCTTCTTTGTGCTGAGGGAGAGGAGGGTCTGGACATCACTTGTTGTCAAGGATCTGTGGCCGGATCTCCCCCTGTTCTCTCCTGGAACTGCTGCTGGGATGAGGATTGTAGCAACCACCCTTCCGGTGAGCCCACCATTTTATGGTGCAGCTCAGAGAGCGCTCTGGTGCTCTGTGGAAAGGGAGACTGAGGCCAGCGTGAGTTAGTTACCAAACCCAAGATGACTGCTCACTCAGCTACTCAGAATGGAGTCCAGGGAACAAGACAAGTAAAAAGATCTAATCCAGAAACCCAGGAAAACGGGAATATGGTAAGATAGACATCCCCTTAACCCAGCAGTCAATGTCTTTCTACCTTAAACGAAGGGAAAGACGAGGGTCTTAGACTAGGGATGGCTCGAGACTTCCCTGTGCCTTTCCTGTGATCTGGAATAGGACATTGAGAAATGAGGTTGATACATGTGCGGTCGGTCACACGGCAGTGATGTGGCTGTGATCTTGAAAACGTCTTAGTCGCTCTTATCTCGGCGTCTTTAGCCTTGAATGGGGGAGGAGAGGGGCTGGGGTAAGTTGCTCTTGTCCTGGGAGTCCAGACAATCTTTAAATGACTAATGTGTCTACGTGCAGAGTTCAGCAGAATCTGACCCAGAGGTTAAGGTAGCAAAGGCGACAAGCGCAGATGGCGGAAAGTTCCTATTTTTTTTTCACCCTTATTTATTTATTTGTGACAAGGTATTGCTGTGAGACCTAGGCTGGGCTCAAACTTTCAGCCATCATCCTGCCTCAGCCTTCTAAGAGTACAGACACGCAGTGCCAAGTTTGATTTCATCTTGTTTTAGTTATGGGTTAGATATTCTTGTGGGCCAGAGGGGCAGTGGTTACAGTAAAGTGGCTTTCAAGTCAGTGCTTGACTAATACTCTAGGTAATCTGTTTTGTTTTGTTTTATTTCTGAGGCAGGGTTTCTCTGTGTATCCCTGGCTGTTCCAGAACTAGACCAGGTTGGTCTCAAACTCACAGAGATCCGCCTGCCTCTGCCTCCTGAGTGCTGGGATTAAAGACATGCACCACTACTGTCCAGCACCAAGGTGGCTTTTATCATTTTAAGTCAAACATCAGAGACGTCAGTTGAGCTAGGAGACTTGCTCAGCTCATCACCGCCAACGCTACTGATTTTCTGAGTCAACTAAGAGCAAGCGAAGCTTGAATCAGGGGGCTCCACATTTAAGAGCATCTACTGTTTGTGCAGAGGAAACAGGGTTGGTTCTCAGCCCCCACATAGCACTCAGTTATGGGTTCTGGGTCAATGCAGTGAACTGGTACCCCACTCCACAGCTCCCACATGGGTCACCTGATCTCTCTACCAGTTCACTGTTCTCATCTGTGCAGCAAGCAGCAGGTCTAACCTCTGCAGGTTCTTCTTGGTCCCAGTTTAGATTCTCCTCCCATTCCCCAGCTCCAATTCCATAGCTTTGACTCTGGCTCCGGATTTTTCCCTGGCCTCAGAGCTGGTCCCAGTAATCGGATACCCCTTCCCATATGTTCTTCCTACTTGGCTCAGAAGATCAAAGAGGAGGTGGATTGTTTTGGTCAAGTTCATTTAACCTTACGGGGCTGTTGGATTTGGGTGATCACTCTGGCCCTAGGGCTCAGGCCCCTTTGCCAGAAGTAAATAGGATGTCCAGATTCTTTGGAGTCTCTAGCTTATTTTTCCTTGGGGTGCAGGACCAGACACTGCCCTTTAGAGGGGTGATTGTTTTCCAGGGATCTTCAGGCGATGGTGGTGATAGCAAGGAGACAGAAGGGGAGCCAGGGAGAGTCAGGGTTTCAGCTTGTAAGAAGCTCCGCCAGATCGGCTAGCATCTGCTGTCACCCTTCACACACCATCTCGCTGAGCCTTTGAGGCAATGCTTCTCAGCAGTGAATTTCTTGCATTTCTCTGCGGTCAGCTCACCTGTCCTCAGGGAGCTATGTAAGGTAAGGAGCCCTGGTACAAGGTTCAGCCTGAGGGAGGAGATGAAGCATGTGAACAGGAGAGAGTGGGAAGGAAGGAGGGTGGCTCTAGTCCGGGCCCTGGAACTGGGGTCCACTGCTGAGCACTGGGGGTCACTGCAGAAAAGGGGTTCCGGGTAGACGCTGGAAAATTTCCAGTAGGGCAGGAAGATTCCATGCACTTTAGGAAGGGGTTTTGGGAACCAAGGGAAGAGAATTTAGAGTCCTGACCTCCTTTGTGGAGGCAGAAGCTGAGTAAGATGGCCTAGTGGGGAAAGACCCGTCCCTACTCCCTCCATCAAGGGAACTCAGGGTGTTTCTGTTGAGTTAGACTTGGGGGCCAGAGCTTTTGCATGGCCTCAGTAACAGCTAGTAACACAATGTGTTTCACAATGTCCTTCTTTCCTTCCTCCTTCCCTCCCCCCTTCCTTTTTTTTTTTTTTTTTTTTGTCTCACTGTGTAGCTGTGACTGGCCTGAAACTTGCTGTGTAGACTAGGCTGGGCTTGGGCTCCCGAATATCGGCTTGCCTCTCCCGTTCAAGCACTGGGATGAAAGACATGTTCCACCATATAAGCCAACACTTGGATTCTCCGGGTAAGAACCTTCCAAACCCTCTTTGGAGGTAAGAAAACTAAATCTCTAACAAGGTGAAGGGAAAAACATGTTGAAGTCAGCTGATGAGGAGGGGCGGGGTTTTAAGTGGAGGGGCGGGGTTTGAGTGAAGGCCCAATTAAGTGTTCTTTCCATGTTTCTGCGCCAACCCCAACCCCACATCTCCACCAAAACAAGTTTCTTCTCCCAGCTCTCCCCTGCCTCCCGTGGACACAGATGTAGTGTTCCTAGGACCCGTGACTGTGCCCAGAAACATGAAGGGCTGTTGGATAAGAAAGGGGACTCAGAAGCTAGGCTGCGGGACTCTTCCATCTTATTAAACATTCATTTGTTATTGTCTGTTTCTCCCACTAGGTTGTCATCTCCCTTGAGAGGAACTGTGCCTGCTTTGTTTATATTATATCCCGGATGCCTCGTATCAGCGCTCTAATTACTTGTATGTACAGTGAACCTGCCACCCACTAGTTATATGACCCTGGGCCAGTCACTGCCTCTCTGCGTTAATATTTACCAAGCCCTCACGATATTTTAGTAACATTTATTCCGTGAGCCTTGCTGTGCTGGCTGAACCCCACAACAACCCTATGAGATGGTTACTATTTTTATTTCTATCAGTGAGTAAAATCAGATCCCAAGAGCAGAGGTGACACGCTTAAGGTGGCTGGTAGCAGGTGGGAGTAAGTCATTGACCTAGAAGCAAATTAATTGCTGGTCCACTCTGTCCCCTCCTTCTGCTGCGGTGTGGCCATCTCTGTCCTCTGCCCTAAACTCCTCATAACTTCTTGCCAATAAAACACGATTAATCACAGTTCTTCCTTCTGCGCAATTGCTCACTCCCGTCACGGCGGGCAACCTCCAGAAGGATGTGGTGGCCCAGGCAAAGCTGGGTGCTGGGCCTACGATGAGGTCAAGGGCTCTCAGACTGGCCGTACAGGCATGAGGGCTTTGTCACTGGCCGGGAAGCCAGGCTCCTCTTCTCCTCCCCATACGCTTCTGGGTGTTGGAAACTTAGGGGTAGGGAGAGAACAGAGAAGCAACAGGAGAGGAATTCCGTGTCTAGGAAATGGCGGTCTCTGCCTGTGTCAGCTAAAGATGGCAGGAAATGCTGGACAGAGTTAAAACGATCCTTTACAAAACATGAAAGAACTGAAAGGCATTAAGAAAAATCCTGGACCAGACATGGCGTCGCACGCCTTTGATACCAGCACCCAGGAGGCAGAGACAGGCGGATCTCTGTGAGTTTGAGCCAGCCTGGTCTACATAGTAGCTCTAGGGTAGCCAGGGCTATGTAGAACTACTCTGCCTCATAAAACAAAACAAAACAAAAAGCCCTATTGTGTCTGGAGAGACGGCTCAATTGTTAAGAGCACTAGCTGTTTGGTCAAGGACTCAGCTTTGGTCTCCAGCACCCACCCATCTCCCTCTTCTGACCTCCTTGGAAGAAGGCACGTGTTATATAGAGATATGGGTACTCACACATAAGAGCCCTGGCTGTCCTTCCAGAGGTTCCGAGTTCGACTCCCGGCACCCACATGGCAGCTCACAACCGTCTGTACCTCCAGTTTCAGAGGACTCGTCACCCGCCCCCCACAGACACACATGAAGCTGAAACACCAATGAGCATAAAATAAATAAATAAATAAATAATTTAAAAAGTTTCAAAATTAAAACAAGAAGAAAGAAAGGAACCCCATCAGAGTTCTAAAGTGACGGCTGGAGAGACGGCTGAGCTAAGAGTGTGTACTGCTCTTGTGGAGGGCTAGAGCTTGTCCCCAGCACCCACATGAGGTGGCTCATGTGACCTGTGACCCCATCTCCACGGGGACATTGTGGGCACCTGCACTAAGGTGCACAACACGCATGCACAGACACAGAAGTAAAAATAAAAATAAATCTTTAAAAAATAACAAGAAAACAAACAAACAAAACCTTCTTTGAAAAAGCACAAGTGACGGCAAAATCTGCGAAGTTGAGCTCGGAACCCCGAGGGCTCTAGCCAGGACGGTCTGGGGGACTCAGGGCTCACCGAGGAGGGGACACAAGTAGAGAGGTGATGCTGAACCCCAACGGGCAATACTCTTTTTTTAGGGGGGGATTCAAGACAGGGTTTCTCAGTAGTCTGGGAGCCTGTCCTGAAACTCGCTCTGTAGGCCAGGCTGGCCTTGAACTCACAGAGATCCACCTACCTCTGCCTCCCGAGTGATGGAATTAAAGGTGTGCACCACCACCATCCGTCCAAGGGGCAATACTCTTAAGCTAAAGGACAAATGAATGCTCTACCCCCAGGACTACTGGAAAAGCTGCCCCAGTGCTGAGCAGAGCAGCAGACCAGGAAAGCAGCCTCCTCAGGAGCTGGGGACATGCCAGCTCTCACAGGATTCTGCGGCCCACACTCGTCCACAGCACTGGGAGTAGAGAGACAAAGAAAGTCCAAGCCCTGCCAGCTGGAGGCTCCCTAGGAGGAGTACCCTTCCTCCTGGGTCTCAAAAATACCTCACAACAATTTCCTCCAGTGAAATAAGCAATTCACAGCCAAAGGCCACCAAACATTCAGTGATCTGGAGGCTGGGCCATGTCCTTAGATGTCTCACCTGTAAGTAGGGGCCTGAGCCAGGTGTTCTCAAGGTCTCCCCTGTACAGGGACTCTGGATGTCCAACCTAAGAGAATCAAGGTGTGTTTCCATTTTGTTTTCTGGGTCTCTTGATGACCAAGAGCTCAGGAGAGGGATGTGTGTGGCTGGAAAATGCCACCAGGAAGCTGCTGCCAGTTCTCAGCTTTGGGGAAGGGCAGAGGGGGATGAGCTGGGAGTGGTGCCTGAGACTCAGACCGGGCCTTTGATGTCTGCGTTGCTAGGTGGGCGGTGGGCCTGTAATAGAGGCTACTGAGGGAAGAAGGTAGGAGACCCTGGGGGCAGCTTCAGGGCTGACCTACTTGGGTCCCTATAATTGCTCCCTTCATCTCTACAGGCTACAAATAGGGACACCCAGTTGTTAGGCTCCCACAGCTGAATCGCCAGCAGCAGCGGTGAGTGTGGCTGCTCGGGACTGCCTTGGGTTGGGTGTTGGGGTAGCTCAGGAACCCCTCAGCAGATGCTCTGTTCCTGGTTTCAGGGTCCGGGTATGGGAGCAGAAAGGTTGCATTAGCAGGTGTCGGGGTGAGGGAAGTCGGATATGGCGGACTCAGAGGTTCCCTTGAACACTAAGGGGCCAATAGGAAGTTTGGCCTGGCCCGGGGAGTGTGCCCAGCCATGATTTCGTGCTGATGTGGGGACAGTGGGCATCTACGGTTCTGGAGCAGCCCTTAGTGAGCTCCTTGCTGCTTTGCTTCATTCTTGGGGATGAGTTGGGACAGGCCAGGGCTGCCGGTGAGGAGAGGATTCCTGTGAGTCTTCAAGCTTCTGAAATAGCAACTGAGGTGGCGCCAGGCAGGCTGGGGGAGCTCAGAAGGGCTCTGAGGTGCTGAGCTCCTGGGACCACGGCCTTTTCTTCTCTTGGGAACATGGATCCTTGTTTCAGTCCTGGGCTGTCACAAAGAAGTTGACCTCAGCAATGCTTGCCACTTCAGCTCCCACTCCTCTCCCTCCTTGTGGACCATTTGCTCCCCTTAGAGGGAACTCCCCAAGAAGAGTCTTGGCTCTGGCTGCCCTGTGTTACAGGACGCTAGTCCCCTGGGGGAGTCAAGAGTGAGTCATTGGGCTCACATGGAAACAACTCTATGGCTTCCCTGCCTGTCCAGGGTTTGCCTAGACTGGATGGGCAGTGGAGGGGGACAACAGAAATGGGGTGGGCAAGGGCTTTAGGAAGCGCTTTCTGTCCATCAGAGTGGGGAGGACTCTTCTCAAAGCCTTCTGTCTTAAGACCCCGCCCCTGCCAGGGGAAGGGAGGGCGGCTAGACAATAGGGCATATCATAGACGAGTCGATCTGTGAGCCTGTGGACTCCGCAGACCCCCGGTCCACGTTCCTGACTAGGCCTGTAAAGCTGCATTCACCTACTTTACAGGAAAAGACAGCTGAGCCCAGAGAGAAACAGTTCACCCAGGGCTGCAGAGTGAGCAAGAGGATGAGGGTTCCCAGCTGCAGCTTCTTTGGGTCAGGGAAGGAGGCATAGCGAGGTGGTAGGGGATCCTCTTAAGATCACATCCCTGCTGGCACTAGCCTGCTGGCACTAGCCTCACCAGGGCAAAGAAGCACTGGGCAGGGCTTCCTGAGCATGCTCTTCCAGGATGAACTCCAGGTCCCCAGGGGGCAGAGACTTCTAGGACCAGGGGCTGCATCATGTGCAATGGTGTCCAATGGGAGACAGAGTTCCCAGGAGTTGGGGAGAGAAAGGACTGGAAGGAATCAGAGTCCTTAGGGAGACCCACAGTGAGGGGTGCAGGTGATGTGGTGGGATATTCTGCTCCTGAGGAACTTATGGTAATGTTGGGGAAACGAAACTTCTGTCCAGACAAACCACAACAGGCACAATAGGGAGGTGAATCAGTGTGTGTGCGCGCGTGCACGTGTGTGTGTGTGTGTGTGTGTGTGTGTGTGTGTGTGTGGGGTGTGGTGTGTGCATGTGCGTGTGCATATGTATGCATGTGCGTGTGCATGTGTGTGAGTGTATATGTGTGGTATGTGTGCATGCGTGTGTGTGTGTGCATGTAAGTAGTTGTTAAGGAGGGCTGCTCAGAGGAAGGGGAACTTCAGCATGGTGGAGACTGACAGGTCTGGAATTAACTCTCAGGAAACACTGAGGGAGAAGCCTGGCCTGGCTCTCCTTGTGAGTCACACCCTCTTCTTGTGACAGTGAGGATGACCCGGCCCCTGGAGCAGGCAGTAGCTGCCATTGTGTGCACCTTCCAGGAGTATGCTGGGCGCTGCGGGGACAAGCACAAGATCTGCCAGTCGGAGCTCAAGGAGCTGCTGCAGAAGGAGCTGCCCACTTGGACCCCGGTGAGCACCCTCGAACCTCTTCCCCCCAGTGGAAGGTACCACTGGGACTCTGCAAAGACCGGCCTGGGGTCAAACACCAATATAGGGCAGCAAGAGGGAGAGACCGGACTGTAGGGAGGGGACATAAGGAAGTGAGCTGACAAGGCTGCCTGAGCCTTAGCAAAGCAGGCGAGGTTGGCCCCCGGAGGGTGTGGGTTGGAGTGGGGGAGGCCCACCCTTTGGAGGGGAGTGGTGTGGGAATTTGCCTATGCTCCTCACTTCCTGATCACCCCTTCTCATCTTGCACAGAGTGAGTTCCGGGAGTGTGACTACAATAAGTTCATGAGCCTTCTGGATACCAACAAGGACTGTGAGGTGGACTTCAGCGAGTACGTGCGCTCGCTTGCCAGCCTCTGTCTGTACTGCCACGAGTACTTCAAAGACTGTCCCCCCGAGCCTCCCTGCCCCCAGTAGCCCCTGATCCGGTGCTCCATTGCTGTCCCTGAGAACACTTGCCAGGTCCCTGCTGTGCTAACCCTGGCTACTCAGGAGCTTTAGCAGCTTTCCTAGGGATGTCAAGGTAGTGAGGGGTGGAGCAGTAGCCACCCTGTGCTTCCCTTCGTGGAAGGGACAACGTCCGTGCTCACACTTTGGAGGCTCAGTCATGTGCGCACAATTGGGACTGCTGTGGCAGGGGCCTGCTCAGCTCCTAATAAAGAAATGTCAGCTTGGTTTGGTTTGCTTCTTTTGATGGGACACCTTGGACTTTGGGACCCGGGACCTTGGGAATCTTTATTCCTCTATGTTCCTTAACACTGGAGGAAGGAGGCTGAAGGCAGGGACCCCAAAGGCAGTGCCAGACCCCACAGGAATGCACAAGTCTTGGTGTTCAATAGGAGGTGTGGCCGTTACAAGCTCCCATCAGCTGAGACTGGGGCGGGGTCATTGTCTCCATCTCTCTGTCCCCCATCTTGAGGTGGAAGCCCTTGCCTTGGGCTTTTTAGGAGGGCAGGAGGCTCTTTGGGAGGAAGGTGTGGCTGTGGGTGTGGGGATTGGAGACCAGGGAGCAGTAGTAATAGGATTAGGACCTCCCAGCCAGGGAGGAAGGCTTTGTATTTATTAGAGGAGTCAGTTCCCATCTCTAAAACCACAGTCCCTAGGGCCCCAAATCCCTGTTCTGACCCTCACTCAATCCCCATGTTTGTACTCATCCTTAGAGTTTAATCCCGACTCCCCATTTTATCCAAGTTTCCTCTAACTCTCTTCTCCAAATTGAGAGTTCAACCCTGAATGCTCCCACCATCCCTGACACCCACACTGGACCTTGTACCCACCCATGAAGCTCACTACTAACTCCATCACGACCTCCTAGACATCTTTCCCACTTCAGACCTGGGGTGGTTGCTAGGCCCCTCCTGACTTGCCAGTCTTCACCCTGGGTCTTACTGATCATGACAGGGAGCTGTTTAGGCTGGAGAGAAGGGCTGACTGACTGTCCCACTGGCTGGGGTCACCTCCTAACTCATGGGCAACACATTTCCAGGCCAACTTCCCACCTCTTGCCCAACACTTCTCCACCTCTTTCCTGTGGCCCACGTCCCATGCCCAGGTTGCCCCGTCTCAAAGTTTCCTAAAACTTTGGCTGAGGTTACTGGGTGGGATCAACATGATTCCGATCTCTTGTGCCCATGGGGGCTCTCTCACTGCTTGCCTGTGCCTGCTGGGGAGCAGGAAACTTGGCTCCCAGGCTGGGCTGTGGAGGGGACTGTGGCATTTACTACATCAACGAACAGCAGAAGCACGGTATCCATGCTCCCCCCATCCCGTGCATGGGCAGGGCCTGGCTGCATATAAATAGGGCAGACATTTGGGCTCTCCCCAAACCTCTCTGTTCATCACTTCCTCTCTCCGGGTCTGGTGAGTTGTGTTAGTCTGATAGCAGTGTTAGCGGGTGGCAGAGGCTGGGGCAGGAGAAAGGGAGGCTTCTGGGGAGACAGATGTTTTTAATAGATCCAGATGAAAGATGCTGATGTGGAGGATCGTGTGTGTGTGTGTGTGTGTGTGTGCGTGTGCGTGTGCGTGTGCGTGTGCGTGTGTGTGTGTTTTGCATAAAAATGAAAACAAAACAAATGAGAGAGAAAGAGAGAGAGAGAGAGAGAGAATAGTTGGCATTTGAGCTCTCTAGAGTTTCTGAGCTGCTGAGTGCTGAGGCTTACCTGTGTTGTTACTGCAGTGTCTGTTCATGTTTGGGAGATGTGATAGGCACCTTGACCGGTGTTTGCTGGGCCATTCAAGTCAGCCTGTGCAGGAAGCAGGTGCAGGAAGCAAAGTAAAGGACCTGTAGGCTTTTTTTCTTCGTGTTTAAATTACAGTTATTTATTTGTGTTCATGTGTGCAAGGGTTGGGGATGGGGGTTCATGCCCAGGTGCACTTGTGGAAGTCAGAGAGCAACTGTGGGAGTGTGGGAGTCAGTCTGCTCCTTCTGCCCTGCGGGTTCTGGGCATCAAACTCAGCTCATCAAACTTGGTGCCAAGCACCTCTGCCCCTTAAGCCACCTCTCCAGCACCCACCTGTAGGCTTTACTCTTCAGAGTGTATTTGTGTGCATATTAGTGCCCTATGGACATATTGCACCCCAGGCCAAGAAAACCCCCTTCCCCCCGTGCCCCTGCCTTTGCCACCTCAGCTCACTCCTCCCTAAGCTGGTCACTAGGCAGCTGGTTTTTTCCGCTGTGTCCCTGGGCAGGCAGCCAGCAGCCGCGCCCAGTGCGGGAGGGAGAAAAGAATGGTCAGAGCTGGTGTTTGTGGTTGAGTTGAGTGAGGGATGGAAACTGTTGTGTTCAGGCCAGGCCCGAGGGAGGCCCCCAGAAGCTGATGGCACGAATCTTGAGAGTTTGTGCAGTAGGCTCTGCGTGTTTCGGGGCCCAGAGCATACACGGCCCTCTCGCCATCAGTGGGTCCCCTGGGAGTGAGGACAGTCCCCTGAAGTACTCTCAGAGGGCAGGATGGAATGGAGTGCTGAAAATGGGGGCAGAATACGTCTATAACTTGAGTGCCATGCAGCGCCATTATAGCCAGTTCTTGATACACTGTTGGTGTGGGTCGGCGAAGGTTACCTTTGTACCTCCTGCCCTTAGGTCTCAGTTGACACCATGGCATACCCCTTGGAACAGGCCCTGGATATGATGGTGTCTACCTTCCACAAATACTCGGGCAAAGAGGGTGATAAGTTCAAGCTTAACAAGTCCGAACTGAAGGAGCTGCTGACCAGGGAGCTGCCCAGCTTCGTGGGGGTGAGTGAGTCCTGTCCGAGGTTTTCACCCTCCCCAGGAGGAGGATGGGGCTCTGGTGGGTGCTAGTCTTGACGCGGTGCCTAGCTACAGCTGGCTCGTATCTCTGGGGTGGGGAGACAGAGCCAGAGAGCTTGCTCCGGGTGCCTGGGGTAGAACCACAGCAAACCATCTCCTGCTCACTAGCCCTCAGCTGAGAGAAGGCTTAGAATGAACACAATTGAAGAAGGCGGTGGAAAACTAGAACAAGTGCCTAAGGCAGTCAGCGTCTGAAGCCCCAGCCTAGAGCGGAACTGTTGACCACAGAAACCGAGTTTCTGTGTGTGAGGAAGCAACTGTGGAGGCCACAAATACCTGAAGGTCCTCCTCTCCTAACAGCTCATGCTAGCGGATGCTTCTCTCTCATGGCTGTTGCTAATGAGATAGTCAAAACAGGCATGGGGAAGGTGTGGTCCTACCCTTTGCCAGTGATTCCAAGTGCTTATCCAAGAAGCATCCTCCTCTACATAGCCAAGCTCCAAAGCTGCCAAGGAGTGCCCGGAGGCTTTCCCGAGCTCCTCAGAGATCTAACTTGGGTTTGGCTTCTAACTGTGCCTCTTCTACCTCCAGAAAAGGACAGATGAAGCTGGGTTCCAGAAGCTGATGAGCAACCTGGACAGCAACAGGGATAACGAGATAGACTTTCAGGAGTACTGCATCTTCCTCTCCTGCATTGCCATGATGTGCAATGAATTCTTTGAAGGCTGCCCAGATAAACAGCCCCGGAAGAAGTGAAGACTCCTCAGATGGAGTGTGGGGGTGTGGTCTGCCAGGGGGCCTCTTCCCTGGTGGCTCTGAGCATAGTGCCTTACTCTGGCTTCTTCTGTGCACAATGCTGAGCAAGTTTAATAAAGAGTTTTGAAACTACGAGCAGTTGCTGAAGAGACTGGAGATGGTGGGTTGGGGGATCAGGGAGGGTACGCCACAGGGTGGTGGTGGGGACTGCTGGGAGTTGAGCTGGAGCTTGGTAGGGATAAAACTAGAAAAGGTTGGGGAGGGGTAGAGTGGCTGACTTTGTGTGCATGCAAGTTTGTGTGTCTATGTGTGCGTGTGTGTGTGTGTGTGTGCACATGCGCGCATGTGTGCACATACTTACAACAAAGCAAACTCTGGGAACACTTAAGGCAGAAGCCACCAGAGGCTTGGCTTGAAAGGCTCCAGATGTGGGAAGTTAGCCAGCCCACCACCCTCCTTCCTCTCTCCAGAACTGCCTCTGGGCTCAAACTGAAGTTGGGATGGGATTGAAGGTCACATCTGTTGCTGGTTGGAGTCTGGAGGGAAGACAAGGGGCCTGAGTCACAAGGAGGGAGTCCTGAGGCCAGAGAATGATGGGGAGGTGGACTGGCACCCATCCCTGACATTTCTAGTCCGTGTCCTGCCTGCTACCCACTCCAGCTCATTGGTTTCAAAGAGTGGGTTGATCCTCCTCTGTCCATGACTGGATGAAGAAGGGCAGTATAGATGGGCCATTTGTGGTAGCATAACAGCCCCCCCTCTCTGAGAAGAGGTCTCACTCCTGTAGCCAAAGCTAGCTTTGAACTTCTGACCCTCCTAGCCAGCTTCCCGAGTTCTGGGATTAGAGATGCATGCTACCATGGCTGACTGAAACAGTCATTCTCTCACAAACTGCCTCTGCTCTCAAAGGTCTGTGGGACAAGAAACTATTAATAAGAATCATGTTGCTTAGAGAAGGGCAAGGGACCTCAGGGTGAATAAGTGAGGGTGGGTGGGTAGTGGCTAGGTGGCAGTGAAGCAGTTGATGGGGAGGTGACCATAGTTTTAGAGATGTAATTTTGGCTGTATTATCTGATAAAGAAAACCGAAATCCCCGTCTCCTCACTCCCTCATGGCTGGTACATGAGGCAAATGTTGCTTTCCCTCAGTGTAGGGTTAAGGTCAATGGCTTCAGAGTGCAGAGACTGGGAACTGAGATTAGATGCCAAGCCCTTGCCTGGGTGAATGGCGACACTTAGGGAGAGGTACCCACAAGCTGTCCCAAGGCTGGCAGATTTGCTTCTCAGCCTTCCCTGCTCATTATACTGTGCTTTCCTCTCCAGCCTCGGAGGACTGGGTCGGTGACTCAGATGTTCCCCTGGAGTTCGACCACAGAGACTTAGGTCCAGGCTAAGCTCATCCTCTCTTTTTTGTACTCCCAGTCAACCTGCCCATCTTCCATGGGAGCGTGCTCCCCGGAGCTTCCTCCTGCATCACTCTCTACTTTTGGAAGCTGCCGTTGCCTGGAGACAGGTCCCAGCTGTATCACTAGTGTACTAGCTGTGGTGGGATGCAAAGGGGGCAGTGGGAGCACGTAGGCAGTGGGAGCACGTAGGCAGGCTAGAGTGGGACTTCAGCCGCCTGAGGGCTGTGCCCCTAACCAAATTCTGTGCTTAGAATC